TCACTAGAAGAACCAGCTTCAACCAAGGCACAATCAAGACAATTTTCAGATTTTCCATTTAAAATAACAGAAAATAAACTCAACTCTGTAAGCCAAAATTTCATCTATTGTTGCCAACATAAAAATATTTCACCATTAAATTTTTCTGGCTTACTACTCAAAGAATTTAAAATGTCCATTGCAAACATGTTGATATTGAACAAGAAAAGAAAAGTTTTTCTCTCTAAGATTGTTAGAAAATAAATTTAATAGAACACAAAAAAAATATATTTAGATTTTCCAATAAAACCAATATCAACAACACAATGAATATTATAAAATTAAAACAGAGCAATCAGTAACAACTAATTAAATACAAAGAGCAAATTAGAATATTAAATAATAGGTTTAGAGCAGCCTGGGTTGAAGCACGCAGAGCGCTATCCTTAGAGAGAAAACACCCCCACTGCACTGGTAATTTTGAGTCTTATAATGCGCTCCTCTCCCAAGATATGTCAACCCGTTAGATCATTCGAATACAGTGAGAAATCCCCGAACCAAAGAACACCGCTCCAAAATTATAATTTTGTAGTAGAAAAAATATTGAGGGAGAGATAAAATGAGCTTGCTGTGTAATTGTTTGTGTGTGTCGAGAGCTTATTTTCCTCACGTACCGAAGTCCATATATAGGTATAGTATTAGTGTGTTATATGCATAATAAGGAGTGCACCATGATACCTCAATTTTCGTAACAGCAAGACTCAACGGTTATAAAACAAAAGGCATCGTGATTAATAACCAATTTGAAAAAGAAGAGACTATTGATTACGTGCATGCTGGAATAATATATTTATGTTGTAATTAGAGTTGACTCACCATATAATATTTACACATTGTATCATATGTGCTTTGGCCAACTGAATAAATTAACTGACACTTAGGAGGTGTATTGGATTAGGATTTTAAAGGACTTTTTAGTTAAAAATATATAGGGAGAGGTAGCTTGGAGAGGAAGCTAACCTTAACCATGGTTCACTAGGAACCATGGTAGGGTTTGCTTGACCGTCCAAGGTTTAGAAACTTGGAGAGCAAGCTTCTCACTTAGCTTGCTTGGTAAGCAAGCTAAGGAGAACCTTGTGCTTCAAGCTTCTAAGCTTGAAGAAAGTGAATAGTTGTCGCAACCTGAAAATTTCTGATCTTGCGACCTATGGTTTAGACATCCTTTTAAAAGTCTCATTAATTAAAGAATGCCCGGACACCAGACTAATCCTTAATCAATGGTTTTGAAAATAGGTTCATGGAGTCCCCACCAATATTTTACTCAAAACATTGGAAAAAGAAAAGGTTTTTAAAGATCCAATAATGGCCTTGATAACCAGAATTGGGTTCGGGGGTCGGTTACGAGTAGGGAAGGTATTAAGCACCCCTACAACGCCCTAAAGGTGAGATTTTGGTAGTCTTATGGACTACCCTATTATAAGAAAATTCAATATGGGGCAAGTACTCATCCCAAGACTTATGTTTACCCTTAAGGACTCGCCTTAACATGGTAGATAGGGATCTATTAACAACTTCTGTTTGCCCATCAGTTTGGGGATGACAAGTAGTGGAGAAAAGTAGTTAAGTTCCTAAACTGATGGAACTAGCTTGAAGATGATTGATGAATCTTCAAGTGCTCCACTCCAAGACCGTTTCTACTCTTGAGCAGAACTCAAAAATTTTCTTGAAGCTCCTTGAAGAAACCTTCAATGGAGGAGAAGCAATGGTGGAGGTTCGGCCACTCCTTGAAGAAGTGAGAATGCTTGAGGAACCAAGCTTCAAGGTGAAGAACCTTTGAGAGAGAACTAAAAGAGAGAGTTCTCTACGGTTAGAGACTCTTCAAAATGAGAGATAATTCTGAATTCTAAATCTCATAAATGTCGAAAGTGAGCTACAATGAAGGAATTGTAAATATATAGGGAGAGGTAGCTTGGAGAGGAAGCTAACCTTAACCATGGTTCACTAGGAACCATGGTAGGGTTTGCTTGACCGTCCAAGGTTTAGAAACTTGGAGAGCAAGCTTCTCACTTAGCTTGCTTGGTAAGCAAGCTAAGGAGAACCTTGTGCTTCAAGCTTCTAAGCTTGAAGAAAGTGAATAGTTGTCGCAACCTGAAAATTTCTGATCTTGCGACCTATGGTTTAGACATCCTTTTAAAAGTCTCATTAATTAAAGAATGCCCGGACACCAGACTAATCCTTAATCAATGGTTTTGAAAATAGGTTCATGGAGTCCCCACCAATATTTTACTCAAAACATTGGAAAAAGAAAAGGTTTTTAAAGATCCAATAATGGCCTTGATAACCAGAATTGGGTTCGGGGGTCGGTTACGAGTAGGGAAGGTATTAAGCACCCCTACAACGCCCT